GCATTCAATATATATTTTGGATAGTGAGATCGTATGCGAAAAAAAAAATGAATGTTTTTTTTATTAAGTTTATATCCAAAATATTAGGAAACTTACCATATAAATTTTTAAAATCGAAGAAGATTCAGTTTTTTTTAAGGATACTATATCTTCTAATTTATACTATTTTGTTGAAAATGGGCCATTACGGGTAAGAATCAATTTCTTTTTTCGTTGTAAAATCGCTCAAAATAATTCCAAAATTTCTACGAATTCTTCGTATTGATATGTCCTAAAGATATGAAAATTTGGATAATTTTACATATAATGGTTTTCTAGTACTTTTAGTTATAAATTGATTAATATATATAAAAAAAAATCATAAATCTTAACACATATTTTGCAAACATTTAGAATATACACATTATTTTTGCAGTGAATTAAAATTGAGTAAATAAATATTTATAAATACAGTTGTAAACATTATTGTAAATGAATAATTATCAATCATTTGTTTGAAAAGGAATATCGCTTTAAATGTTATTAAGTTATCGATCTTTTTAAGTTGGAAAATCGCTGAATGATTCCAAGATTTGTACGTATTCTTCATAAGATATGTACTAAAGATATGAAAATCTGCTCAATTTTATAGACAATGTTATTCTAGTAGTTTTTAATTTAACGTATATTAAACTGATTAATAAAAATAATTCAAGCAAAAAAAATTATAAATCTTTTTAGTTCGATATAAAATTATCAGCCCATCAGTGTAAAGAGCATAACATAAATAAACTGATCGCTTTCTTAATTTTATCGATAAAAAATTTGATTCGTAAGGTAAGAAAAAAATATTTGTCTTTCAAATAAATTAAGCTTTTGTTTACGTAAAATCAAGAAACGAAAAACACATTTTTCATGAAATTATAATACCATTTACTACTATTGGAAAGTCAATCAAACTTTACCAATAAAAACATTCTAATTTTAATAAATCCAACATCTTTCAATTATTATAGATGATATTATATTTATAGTTTCAAAAACAAGTTAAATATAACGACAAACATACTAAAGTCTAGTTATTATTTCAACCAAAAATGCTACTATATATTTATCTATAGTAAAATTGTCCATTTACTTGAACCTTTATTTCTTGAGTTTTTGGTATATGTTTTATTTTTTTTAAAAAAAAAAATTTGAAGAAATTCAATTGAATAATATTGAATTATAATTGTAACAAATGATATTTCAGATCCGGCCCGAAATGAGTAACCTTATAAAATTTAAAATTCTACACAGCCGAAAATTAATAAAATTCAGTTATATTTAATTTAATTTATGTTATAAATTTAGCATTATTTGATGGAGGCTACACGTTGCTCATATCTACGAATAAAACTAAAATGACCGCTCGAATTGGAGCAAACGAAGAAGCATCTCTAGAAGTTTTTGTTTTAGTTATTATATCATTCCAATTTTTTTGGTCTTTCAAAGGGTTTTTATCAAAATTCGAAATTTTAGGGTGTTATTATTATTATTATTATTATTATTATTATTATTATTATTATTATTATTATTATTATTATTATTATTATTATTATTTCATAATTATCATGGAATTTAGTATACAAGTTTTATGGTTGGACTTTATGGCGTTTTATCTATCTTAGCAGAGATTTACCTTTTTAGTGTTTTTTTTTTTTTATTCTTTAGCATTTTTAAATGAAAGTTATATTAAAATTTTGTGCTTAGTTTTATAGAGCAATTATTATATCAACTAGTTAAGAATATAGTCACTGGACTTATTTTCATCTTAAATTCATACTTTCGAATTAAAATAATATATTCTAAAAAACTTGACAATTTCTATGACATTTCTTCACATGCATATCATTTGATTAAAAAAAAAAACATACGAAGAACATATTTCTTTAAAGCTTAACATAAAATACGACTAGGAATATGACACCATATTATAAAATTAGGAACATTTTATAATATTTTATTTTGATTTGAAACAATATTTGTACACTTGTTATGTGGTGTATGAACATGAAAATACAGGATTAGTATGAAGAATTCAAAACGTGGAGGAGTGTTCAACTGGGCTACAATTTATTAATAAAACTAAAATAAAAGTAATATATATAAAAAGTATAAATAAATTAAATATCATTCGTGTGTATAGAGAGAGAAAGTAAGAGAGAGGAAAGAATAGGAGCGTGGCGGCGGGAATCTTTGGAGGCCGCGTGCCTTATAGAAAAGCCACCGGAAAAGTGGTCCTAAGGTCAAGAGGTCTTGCTAAGCCTCCACGTGTACACTTTATATGAAATTATTATTATAATTTCAGGCTTCCCATACGGAAGCATTTTCCCAAGCAACTCGTCGGCACATTCATTTTATACTCCAATTATATGAAACTTTAAAATTATTTCATAATATAAGAAAATACATTTTTTCATCACTTTTAATATTCATTTCTAATTGTTTTCAAATAAAACCTACTCGTCTTATATATCAAACTAGGATATACTTGATGAATCTATATATATACAGGGACAGATCAAATGAGACCAGCTCTTAAAATGAGGTCAGCTCTTAAAATGCGGACACTAACCTAGCACAATCAAACAACTAATCTAGCACAAATAGACAACTAATCTAGCAGCATCAGACAACTAACCTAGCAACTGCAGAGACTTCATTTTCTAATTTTTTCCAACTGGTACATAAAATAGAGGTTGAAATCATTGTTATGAAAAAAAAACTTCGAAAAATGAGTCTCGATTGGGGAGATATAGAGGTTTAAAAATACAAAAAACGTATTTTTTTTTCTTAAAAATGAAATTAAAGCAAGAAAAAGATTTTTTTTTAAAAAAAAATTTAGTCGGCCAAACCGCCTTCGGCAGTTTGCAGCTGCGTAGATCTCGTCGAGCTACCCCAAATCAAAAAAAAAAATCGTCCAAAACGGAGCTTTCTGCGTAAAGTTATGGCCTTTCAAAATTTTACTATGTGATCTTGTAAATTTTCATCATGTAGTTGCAATTACAAACAACTAACCTAGCATCATCAGCCAACTAAACTAGCAGAATCAGACAACTAACCTAGCACCATCAGACAACTAACCTAGCAAATACTAACATAGCACCATCAGACAACTAACCTAGCAGACAACTAACCTAGCACAATCAGACAACTAACCTAGCACCATCAGAAAACTAACCTTGCAACTACTAACCTAGCACCATCAGACAGCTAACCTAGCACAATCATACAACTAACCTAGTACAATCATACAACTAACCTA